GCTGGCCTAGCTATAGAAGATTGTCCCTGACTGGATACAGGTGAGATAAGGGGTGACAGCTATAGAAATTGAACTGGTGAAGTCTGTCTAACTCTCCTCCGTCTCGTAACTGGTGGGAGTAAAGCAAACACTAGTTGTCCCCTAACAAGATCTTCGGCTCTGTAAAGTCTTCTAACATGGATCCAGAGTGCTTGGAGGATATCCAAATTATCTGAAGCTATTATGATAAACTACCTTGAAAAAAGAAATAAAGAAAAAAGGGAAGTATTAATCAGAAACCGCATAGCACCTCAGCTCAGATGTTAACAACACACAGTTATAATAAAAAGCTGTAGAACTGCACTCAACACTGAATTCTGTCCCCAAATCTGATACCCAAACTTGCAACTAATACGTACATTCTTGTAGAGTTTCACTCTAAAAGCACATACCAGTTAAGTGAGAGCCAAAACACCCTTATGAGGGGATAGGGTTACCCTGTCCTAGTTTTGTCATGTGTTAGGGTTCACTATTCAAAACAAGCGGTTTTCACGCAATTCCTGCATTCGAGTAAGTGTCTTGTCCTAGTTTAGAACAGTCTCAATGGCTTTCGATATGCAACTAGGCCAAATGGTCAAAAAGGGTACCTCGACAAGACTACCTAATATACCTCTTATACCTAATACCGAGAAGTGAAAGGAGGATCAAACGCTACAACGATAGTCCAGATCCAATGGTTGTGTTCGCATCGTGGTAGAGCCCGCAACTGGTCAACCTTTTGGCAAGCTTTTCCAAGCAAGCCTCCGGCAAACCGTTCAAGAATAGCAAATGGCAAACACAGTGACTTAGGCGCACCAATGCAAATACAATGTAAAGAAACATATAAGAATAGATAAAATAATAATAGATAAAATTTCATATCATGAAATTCAAGTCAAGTTCTCTAATTCCCCAGCAGAGTCGCCAGAAACTGCAACTTAACATTTTCTCGCCCCCTTTCCGAAGTTCAAAATAGCCCTACAGTATCGGACTCCCGCGGTTCTGAATTTGATTCTACAAGTGCAATGTGAAATAGATAATCACAAAAGAGTCTAAATCTGGCAAATCTTTTGGGAAAATTGATTTTGAATCAAAAATGCCAAAATTGGACTGCTATACCAGACATAGAGTCGCCACCTAAATATTTTTGGAAAAATTTAGGAAACCTATAACTCGTGCCAAAGGCCACGTGTCTGTCATCACCAAAGTTGCCTCGGCTCGGGAACTTAGGTACAAGAGGGGAAGGTCGTGAATACATTTGAGCACCCCCGCTTGCTCGATCAAAGATTAGCCTCTACTAATCATGATATGATTTTTATTAATATTATATACTCTTGTTCCGATTATTAGGTTGACCTTACTATGTGATGCGCACATACAAGTATAGACTAACTTTGCAAGAATTGGAATAGTTTATTCATGTTTTTTTCTTGAAAAATTGATCTCATGCAGAGGTCTCTTGCCCTTTGATTACATTCTAGTATCTGGTGGCCCAACCAAGGATGGCTGCTGTCTAGGGCCAGTTGGATATAGCTTTCTGTTATAAGTATTGGCTAGCTTATGTCCTCTCTGCACATCTTTGTAGTACTGATTCCCATCACTTGGGAGCCCCCTCAGCTATTTATAACTCAACTTGTATCTAGAACACATTCTCTGCACTACAGCTGCTTTGAAGGAGTCATCATCCAATGTTTCTTCACTGGAGCCATCCCTTTGACCTGCAAAGCTTTGTCCACTGGCTAGTGAACTTCTTGTGTCCTTCTTGAAGTATCAGGATCCTCTAGAGTTTTATTCCTAAAGTGATCCCTAAAGTGGGGTGATCCAACAGCTCAAAATAAAACTAACCAAAACGACGTTTTGGTTAGTAATTTCAAAAAAAAAATGCTTTAATTCAAAATTCATGCAGATCTGATATGAAGCAAAATGACGAAGAAAGAGAGAGAGAGAGAGAGAGAGAGAGAGAGAGAGAAAGAAAACGGCTGAGAAGAGGAGCTCTTCCCACCCACCCCGACGCGCCGTTGTCGCTATAACGCCGTTCCCGTTGCCACGCTGCTGCCCGTCATACTCCAACAGATTGAAGGAAAAAATCGCAGGTTTGTTCATCCTCCAAACTTAAAATATTAGGGCTTTGAATCCAAAAATTAGGGAAAATCTGAACTTGCCTACCTTTGTAGAGTAAAAATCTGAACTTGGCTACCTTTGTCAATGTTGACTTTCATTAAAGTTTCTTTAATTTCCTGCTTCGTGTTTTCAAGAAATTGTTCATCCTCCAAACTTTAAATATTACAGCTTTGAATCCTAAAATTAGGGGGGGGAATTCGTTATTAAATAACGTATATAAATAGAAGTGTGTATAGGTGTTGGTTTTCATGGTAGTGTTGAAAGAGGGGAGGAGCCATGGTTTTTGGATTATATATGTATATATCTATATAATTATATATATGTATAACTAGTTCAGCCGAGAAAATCATGATTGCTTCCATAAAAATAAAATAAATTTTTTAAAAAAGAGAAAGATATAAGGTAGTTGTAATGCTGTCGGAGGAAGAAGATGTGGGTGGTCTGCTGGAGCATGCAACTGTTGCTGTTGCATAAGGGTTGAGGAAAAAAGGAAATAAGAAGAATAGAATGAGAAAAAAGGGTGTTTTAGGGAGTGACTTTTCATTTGTTTTTTTTTTTTTTTTTTGGATTTTTTCCTCCAATTTTTTGGAAAATTTTTTGTTAGTTTTTTTTTTTTTATAAACAATTTTTTTTTTTTTTGGATGGGGGCATATGGATTATTGTGTAAGTTGATGCTTTTACTCCTCCAACCATAGTAGATATAGTTCCATTTTTTTATTCCACTTCCAAATTACCCTTTTCTAATATGAATGAGATATATTCTTCATGGTAAATGCATATACTAAATAAAGTTTTAATTGTATCTTGAGATGTATAAATGGCATAGTCATTATTAAAACTAAGATGGCAGCATTAAAGTTTTAATTGTATCTTAAGAGATTGGGGGAACCAGAGGGGGGGGGGGAAGAGGATTAGAATGAGATGATATGCTTTTATTTTCTTTTTTGATGTATATATTATTTTATTGTTTTGATTTCTGTTCATTTTAGCAAAATGTATAAAGAGTTGAAATGATGTTGCTGGACATTATCATAACTTAGTTACCTCGTTTAATTTATTTCATTAGTATTATTTGTGCTAGTGTTCTTTGAATTTTAATTCATGTTGGAGTAAGATGGAATTGATTTGGGTTAAGAATTTAGTGTTGCATAATCCAATCAGCTTGTTTCAATTGGATAATTTTGAAAAGAATAAAATACTATCTCTCCTCCGAAATCACAGGTTTAGATACTGAGAGAATAAGAAATTTTTTCAAAATCTTAGATATTGTTGTTCCATTGTTATTATTTCAGATAAAAAAATGTCAACATCAAATGCATCTATGAATGATACTAGTGAAATTTAGTTTAAAAATTGAAAATGTCGTTATGAGACGAGAGCAACATTCAGGATTTTAGAGTCAAAAGAAAATCCAGGAATGGTATACTTTGCTTTCTCTTTCAACAACACCAATGGATGTGGCTTCTTTGAGTAGTGGATGCCTGTACATAAACAGCGTCAATGGTTGAAGATGATAAGGGAGGAAAGCGACGAAAATTGTAATATCAACCCTTTGGTCAACAAATTGCTTGTATCCAATGATGAGCTGAAAGAGATGGTTACAAAGTTTAGGAAAGAAAGTAAACAAATGGTTGTAGCGATTAGACAACTTTGGGAAAAGTTACACTATGCCTTTGTAATAATATTAATTAGATTTGGACTTCTTCTTTTGTTGTTTAAACATTAAGTGTAAATTAAATTCAAATTTGGACTTCGCCTTTTGTGAACTAAATATTATGTGTAAATTAAGTTGGTTGTTGACTTGAACTAAATATTTTGATATCTGGGTTAGATTATATTAGTAGACCTTTTGATATATATAAAAAGGTGTTTTGAAGCATTGTTGTGGATAAATGCTAGCATTGAAATGTCACAATTACTTGTTGGAAAAGGACATGGATTTAAGTGGATAAATGTTACCTGTGGCTATACTTCAATTAAAATGATATGAGAAGCCTAGCTTCTTTTTATTATATTAAGTTTGAGACATTACTCATGAAGCATTGTTGTGAATAATATCTAATCAGACGCTACTCTAAACCAAAATCCATCCTAGATTGTTGGGTAGCAATTTCAAGAGTCCAACAAATAATTAAAGAGAAGCAATGTTACAAAATCAAAACAAACTGGAGTGTGACATCTCACATAAATCTAATACATGTGCAATGAAATCACAGAAACTTTGGTGACCAAATCTCTCCCTCTCTGTTTAGCTATTTCTGTGTGTTTTTCATTTTAGGTTTTTTTATGAGAAGAAAATTTGAGGTATTAAGAATCAATCATGTTTGTGAATATTGAATTGACTATGAAAGGTTTGTAAAAGATGAGTGTGAACTAAATGAACTGTAGAAGAAGTTGATAGGCTTGAAGTGTAACTTTGTACTTCATGAAGAAGAAAACAAACTAGACTAAGTAAATCAATCACAAAATACACATTAGAAAAAAAATCAATCACAATCTAAAACACATTTCAATTCTACTGTAAAGTAAACTAGAATCATCAAGTTATTCTCAACTCGAAGCAAAAATTTTAGCAAAATTTCAAGTCATTTCAGCACCACTTCAACACAAATTTTAGCACAACAGTCAGCACAAATTTAAGCAACAAAATCTGCATTATGCACCATTTCAGCACAACATTCAGTACCATTTCAACACCATTTCATCCAAAAATTCAGCACCATTTCAGCTGTAGTATCATTTCAAAACAAAAGAAATACAACTCAAAGTACCCCAATGATGAAAGAACACAACAATATTTTCTACATTCACATAAAAGTTTTCAATATTACATACACGAACACCATACAAAGTTTTCAATGCTAAGATATTGACGTGTGATCCACATGCCCATGCCCATGCCCACGCCCATGACTACGCCCATGCCCATGTAGTACCTAAAAAAAAAATACTCTTATATGAAAGGAACCATAAAATAAAATGGAACTTTAAATGAATGAATGAAAAAATAAAAGAGGAAATGTGAAAAATAAATTACTTGACTACATGCAGGACTATTCGAGGCTTGCGAGTCATAACCGCTTGCATTGTTAAGCAATGCTTGATAGCTTCCATGGACGGAATACATCGATGGCATTGAAAAAGGCATATTGTGACGAAGAAAACTTGGCTGCAACAATAACAAACACTTATCAATTTAAAATAGTACTAGTCATTTACAAATAAACATAATAAAACTTCTTATTAAACTGACTTACATCATAGGCAGGATACATAAATTGGGACGACAAAGCATTAACTTGAGGAACACACTTCAAGAATGGAGGAAGTTGAGGAACACTTATTAAAAATAAAGGAGCTGATTAAGGAATACTGGGCGAAAACAAGGGAGGTGGTTCAGAAGCACTCGCCAAAAATAAGAGAGGAGGTTGAGGAGCAACAGACATGGGAGTTTAAGAAGCATTATGTGAACTAGGTTGAGAAGCAACAAAGATAGGAGTTTGAGAAGCATTATGTGAACTTGTTTTATTTTCTTTGCTAACACAAGCTCCAAACCACGTTTTGTCCGCCTTCGTCCCTTACTAGTGCACTCTCTTCGCTTGAGTCCTTTTGCTTGAACTACATTTGTATCCGCTACACTATCCACTTCAAAGGTTTCGAGGCATGTGACGAGAGGGCTTTCTTGTTCAATAGTATCTGAAAAAGGGATATTGAATTTTGCACTTAACATGCTTTCAATGTTTGCAATTAAGTCATCCGCTTTCTCTACCGTCAAGTTATATGTTTCCTACTTTCGGAAGCTCTACACGCTACTGCTCTGAAAATTGCCATCAATGATCTAAAGCGTGAAGTTTGATGCAATCTTACATCAACCTTAATATCATGCCCACACCTATCTTTCACATTTTCAACTCTTGCTTTTTTAGTCCATCTCTTGAGAATATATTGGGAATGAATCTCTTTGAATTTGAGGGTGTCTGTAAGGATCTTCAAACAATGACTACACAAAATGCCTTTCATTTCAAACTTCCTACAATTGTAAGTGAGTGAACCATCACACTCCACTCTCACATTCCTCACCTTTACACCATCACTATCAAGTACCGTATAAACGGTACTCTCACTATCATGTTTAGTTTCTTCAATGTTTACTTCAAGGGACTTGACATACTCATCCTGAAATTTTTCATAAATTTTATTTATGTAAACATCTGCAGCTTGCTCCATGATCTTCACTTTAATATTCATCCTTGGCAACTTTTGGCATAGAGCGTATTCGACTTGAAACTCTTTGTACCTCTTCTCACAAAGAACTCGATCAACATGCATGAAAAATTGCATTAAGTTATGATCAGACTGAATGAAATCCTTCAAGAATGCATTAAAGGATTCACTAAGTTGGGTGCTACTCATGCCTGCACCCCATACATTTCTACCATATGGCCAACCCCATTTTTCCTTAACCCCAAATGTTAACTTCAACCAATGATTATCTCGCACTTCATACTTGTCAAGCATTTCCTCCCATTTTAACGTAAAATCATCCTTATCCTCAATGTCGTCCATAAACTTGGATAAAACACTCTTTATCCCCTTATCATTCACCTCCTTATCCTTGAAGATAGAATTTGCATGCCTTAATGCATTTTGAATCAAATGCCAAGTGCAAAGGCGGCGTTTTGTGTTAGGCATGACAATAGGTATGGTGTTAGCCATTGCAACATCCTGATCCGTAAAAATTGTTTTTGGAGCTTTACTTGACATTGTCTGCAAAAATCTTCTAAAAAGCCATATAAAATAATCGACAGTCTCATCCTACATCAAAGCTGCGCCAAATATAACAGTTTCCCTATGATGGTTAAATCCAACGAAAGACGCAAATGGTCTATGTGCACTATTTAACTTGTAAGTAATGTCGAAAGTCACAACATCACCAAATTGCCCATAATCCATGATCATCTAAGCATCGGCCCAAAATATGTATGTAATCTGCTCCTCACTATCTAATTGGACCGAGTGAAAAAAAGATGGATTCTCCAATGTCTTCTCACGAAAATATTGCAAAATACTACCTGCCTCCCCATATGCTAAACTCTTTTGCCTCTTCATTCTCAAATAATTTTTTTGGTCCACTTTTGTGAACCCAAGTGACTACCTTCCACCAGCTTCATTACCCATGAGCTCAAATGTAGCATTAAGCCGGATTCCAGATTTTTCAGCTAAATCTATTTTGGTTGCCTGTGATGCAGATATCTTCATTTGGGATGGTAACATATGCGTATATTCTGTTGGTACAAAAATATGAAATATGATTATGTTGTTCAACAAACTCACCAACAAAAAATTTATGAATATTCCTATCCCACTTAATGATAAGTCGGGCTTGACAACCAGCCCTCACTTCCTGTCTAGGATTTTTGTTAATGGATCGCGCTTGTCAACAACCCGAAACCCCTCCTTATTACAAACAAATAGCCTTGAAGTGATTTGCCCCTCCTTGTTTTTGTTTACATAACCCCTTTTAATACTAAAGCCTAGCCTTCCTCCATAAACATTATAGAAATTGTATACTTTTTGTTCTGTATCAAATGTCATGTGAACTCTAGACTTCCAATCACAATCACCCCCGTCATTTTCAACATTGTTAGGTTCCATATCAATGTGCCAAGTCACTTAAAAAATAAAAAAAAGTGCTCAATATTAGCAAAAAAATTGTAAATTATGTTTGCAAAATAATACAAACTAAATAAAAACACTAAAAGAATTGACTCATATTAGATTATATAAACAAAGGGGAACAAATCCCTTCGATAGTAAATTATGTTTTCAATGTTCCAGATTTAACACAAATTCCTTAATTTTCTTATAATCAACATGTGAACATACAAAATCAAAATTAAACAACAAAAACAAACAAAATAAAAAAATAAAAAATAAATCTACAATTCTATAGCTCAATCATCAATACCATAGTCTATATATTTTAAACGTGACATTGTAGATCAAGTAGTTCCCAATTTTAAATTCTTGGAATTTAAATGCCTAGACTGCAAATCTATGGGGTTAATAATCATTACCCAAAAAAAAAATATAAATGCAATGTTTAGATATCAAAGATTTTAAAGCCTATTTAACAGGCCAATATTATATACATCTTCTATTTGAATAAATAATGAGTTGCATATGAAGAAGAGAGGCATACAAAAACTATGATATACCTGTGCAAATCATTACAAGAGAGGCATCATTTATAATAATGTTTTGTGCACAAATTCTGTAGTAGAAGCTGTAATATAGAAAATGATGAATAAACAATATAGAAAATAATGAAATCTTCATTCAAAATTTGTAAACAAAATTCGTAAACATAACATGGGCACCATTTACAGAATTTGTATTCAAAATTTGTGCACAAATCAACAATATAGAAAAGTAAAAAGGGATGAATCAAATGTTCCCAGATCTCAGCGATGGCGGCAACGACTGGACGACGGCGGCAGCGACGACTGGATGGTGGCAACAGCAGGGTGACCACTAAACGGTGGTAACGGCTGGACAACACTCCCTCATCTCTTCTCTCCCTCTTTTTTTCTCTCTTTCTTACACTCCCGCCTTTTGATACAGCTTCTGCTATACCTGGAGGGAATTTTGGGAATTTTGAATTAAATTTTTTTTTTTTTTAAATTACTAACCAAAACGACATCGTTTTGGTTAGTTTTATTTTGAGCCATTGGATCACCCCACTTTAGGGATCACTTCAGAAATAAAACTCTAGAGAATCCTGATACCTTCTTGAAGGCAACCTGGCTAGCCATGCATTTGCACATTGACTTCTTTTAATTCCTTCAAAGAGAGATTCTGGAAATTTGGTATGCCAACATTAGCTGCTGCCTCTCCAATCTCTGGAAATGGGTTGGTGTCAATTCTCATGGCCTTTTCAGTCTTGATTAGAAATTTCAGTCTTCCTTTTTGAATTTGTTCTTGGATCCTGTCTCAAAAAATAATACAGTTTATAGTTGAGTGAGACCAAGGATTATGCCATTTGCAGTATAATTTTTCTTTAAGTTCTTCAGAAGTTGGGATCTTAACTCCCTTGGGTAATTTTAAGAAATGTGTTGCAAGCAAATGATCAAATATGTCATCTGCTTTGGTTATATCGAAAGAATATTTCCTATAAAGGTCTTTCTTTTTAAACTGTTGATCAATTGTAGTGTCCTTCTGAATCAATGCTTCGCAGATCATTAGTTCTTTTCCTATGATCTCTACTACATTGCTTCGGTCTTGTTCTTTTTCAAGTAAGGTTTCATATCTAGAAACTTTATAGGTTAATTCTACTGTTAATTCTACTAAGGTTATTCATGTACCTTATCCATCCATTCTGGGTAAGGTTTTCTGTATGCAGGAGTTTGGACCCCCCAGCCACGGGTCCACACATTTCTCTAATAATATCAACAATTTGGTCCCTAGGAACCATGTTTTGTACTAGTTGGACCACTACTGGAGGAACAAACACAGGGTTTGGAGGAACTCTATGTACCTGAGGGCCTCTTGGTCCATATATAGGTACATTCAAGACTGGCTATTTTTGTTATGTTGGTTGTTGTTCAAGGTATGGCTGACCTCTTGGGGTCTGCCCTGCAAAATGTGCTACAGGATGAGTAACAGGCATTGTTTCTCTTCCAACCGCAGGAACCCCTTCCAACCCCCCAGGTACAAATTCAAACATAGAAGCAGTGAACACCTGTGTGCCAGGCATGGTTTCAAACATTGGATTTGAAAATATCCTTATACCATTCCCTTGTGTTGGGACCCACCAATTTGTATGGTTTCACTGCTAGGTAATAGTATATTTTGATTTGTCAGTGTATCGAAGGAGCTTCATACCATGACTGAGGCATAGGTGATGACCCCTCATGATTTTGATTACTAGTTTGACCATTAGTTTGTCTATTATTTTGCATAGACTGTTTATCTTGAGCCAATCTATGCTAAAGAGAATTCATGTTTTCTTCAACCTGTCTTATGACAATTGGTTGATGAGAGTTCATTCGATCTATAAAGGATGTTGCACATCTTTCTATTGTATACATTAGTTGCTATCCCATAGCATCTATTAAACCTCCCTATGGATTCATTGGTTGGGTAGAAAGGACAGTTAATGGTCCAGTTTCATGGCCCTGTCTAGTATTTTGGATATGTGTTGCATATTCTAAAGTGCTGGTCTGTTCGACCATTTGTAGAGGATCTACTGGGATAGGTGCATCCATAGGATGTAATATTAAATTATCCTCTGGGTTAGGTGCTTATATCTCTCCTTCAACACCTTCTTCTAGGCATTCATTTTCTCCTTATCTCCTACGTCTAGCCATTATTTATGGTCCCACTGGGCATGCCAAAAAATATATGTTGGTTTTTTTGGCTTTCGAAGGTTAATTATGTAATTTTAAGAGGACTAGCAAATATCAATAATTCCTTACAGAAAGTTTAATTGCCAACCAATTATCAGACGATTATGTTGAAGCTTTTTCGGCCTTAATGAAGAGGACTTTTACTGGTGGCTTTGCTTAGGAGAAATTTATAAATAATAACAAGTAAAAAACAGTTCAAAAATTGAATTTCATTAAGTAAATGAAAACTTGCAATGAATTTACAATGACCCAATCTCGAAGAGGTTCACAACAACAAACTACTTAAAACTACTCCTAAGAAATGAAGTGCAGTATAGGAATTGATGGTACAGGAATTGTAAAAACTGGAAAGAAAAATATGAAGTAAATAACTGATTTCTGGATCTGAGTCTGGTCCTCTCTTCTATTGGCCTTCTCTTCTATTTTTATACTTTCTAAAGGTAACCGTCGAAGTAGTCTTCTAACCGTCGAAATGCCCTTCCATGATCTCTGGTCATGGCCTCGCACAGTTAGCTTCCACTACGCCACTCTTGTAGGTAGGTAAATGATAAAAAGTACAATGACCCAAGTACAAAACAGTAAATAACTGGTTTATGAATGAAGAGGATTTTTACTGGTGGCTTTGTTTAGGAGAAATTTATAAATAATAACAAGTGCAAAACAGTTTAGAAACTGAATTTCATTAAGTAAATGAGAACTTGCAATGAACTTACAGTGACCCAATCTCGAAGATGTTCACAGCAACAAACTACTTAAAACTACTCCTAAGAAATGAAGTGCAGTATAGAAATTGATGGTACAGGAATTGTAAAACCTGGAAAGAAAAATATGAAGTAAATAACTGGTTTCTGGATCTGAGTCTGGTCCTCTCTTCTATTGGCCTTCTCTTCTATTTTTATACTTTCTAAAGGTAACTGTCGAAATGGTCTTCTAACTGTCGAAATGCCCTTCCATGATCTCTGGTTATGGCCTCGCACAGTTAGCTTCCACTACGCCACTCTTGCAATTAGGCTTCTCTCCTGAATTTGAATTTGAATCATGAGTAACCGTTGGACCATGTCATCTTGCACCTTCTAACTGTTCCAATACTACGTACATCCATTATTACCAACATGAACTACCACGTGCCTGTCATTGATTGGAGACTTGTATTAACTCTCCAAATCACCTTTTACGAGGCACGTGTTAAGCCGTGATTGACTTTTACAAAATATATAGCCAACAATGATATTGATAATACTTTCGTTGATTTGAAATCCTAGCAACGCCGCTAACAGGAAATGAATATTGTACTTGAAATGAAAAACAGTACATGAAATGAATTTGAATTAAACATTAATATTTGCATGAGTCATAGTCATTGTTATGATTTTTTTTTTCCACTTCTATTTTTGTCGAGGGATATGTAACACATAAGAACATCTCCAACCCTGAACCAAAATTTTCATCAAATCTGAGTAAAAAAATGACTTTTTCCTCAATCTGATACCGAGTGCTCCAACGGTTGATTTTCATCAAATTTTCATCAAATCTGTGCCTGGATAACCAGTCGGTCGACCGGGTGATCGACCGGTTAAGCAAAAAAAATTTTTTTTTTTTTGAACTGTTTGAACCTTTTAGTGGTCGACCGGTTGGTCGACCGATAAGGCAAAAAAAAAAAAATTCAACTGTTTGAACTTTTTTTAGAACTATTTGAACCTTTTGGTGGTCAATCGGCCGGTCGACCGGTTGGTCTCCCCCGACAGTCATGCACAGTGTTTTGATGAAATACGGAGTCTGTCCTCCTTTTGGTGAAACGTTTGGTGAATTCTCGATTTAATATCAATTTGGTAAAATCGTTGGAACTTCAAACATTATTTTTTTTACTGAATTTCAAATATGATGCTAAATTTGATGAAAGATTGGAAATGACCTAATACATTATAACAACTGATACTTGACTACAATCTTAGAAAAGATATATTTTATTTTAATTATTACAACTGCAAAAGCCTAAAATATAGCTTATTTTTCTGCCACTTTCAGAACAAATTGGGTCAAATCCCAATGCAAGCATGTTCTTAACAACAAATTTGATCTTCAATAGTTTTGCAGTAATTTACGATAGCAGGTGGGCCAATACTAGCACCATGAGAACTTGTAATATCTTAAAACTTTTAAGCCAACAATAAAATGTTTAAATCTCTTTCTTTTTCATCCTAGAAACCAAAATTTACAACAGATTTAAAAAATTCGAAACATAATTAATTCTGGTTTTACATCCAACAAAAATACCCCAAGATAGAGAATTTACGAACAACTTGACATCTACAGTAGTAATTTCTACAAAGATCATCATCCACAAAACTAATCTCAAATTCAACATGAACCTCCCCGTTATCTTCCTTCCTCCCCTAAATGTACATTTGGAGACTAAAAATAGTGATTAAAAATAGCGACTAATACAATTTTAGTCACTGAATGTTAAGTTTTTTGCAACTAAAAAGGTTGTTAATTGAAAGTTAAGTTTTTGCCTACCAAACAAAATTTAGTAGTTAAATCTTGACATTCAACAACTAAATTACTTTGGCCACTGTTTCTTTTTACGTTTTTTGGTGGAAGAAGTTTGAAAATTAGTAACGGTGTGTTTTTTAATTTGTGCAACCAAATTTATTTGTCCTAAACAAGTATATATATTTTTTAATTTTGAGTTTTTTAAAAAAAAAATTTGAATTTTGAATTTAATTTTTTTTAAATAAATATTTCAATAATTTTTTTGTACTTTTTAAATCTATTGAATCAAGATATACTTAAAAATTAAAATATTTATAAAAAAAATTAAAGACTAAATACAAAAAAAAAAATGTATTGAATTTTCACTACTACAACAATAGTTAAATATCACACACAAAAAAAATAAAAATAAAACATCTCAATATTAAAAAAAAAAAAGTGATAAAAAAATTGGGAAAAACGTTTAGAATTTTGAAAGGATTAATTAAATTAGTAGTTGGTCACTAAATTGTTTTGTTAGAAATTTTATTAAAAAAATTTACATAGGATTTTTTTTTAAATAATTTTCTGGTTGGCAAAAGTTTTGTACTAAATTTTTTAGAAGAAATCACAATCCAGTGTAATTTTAAAAAAAATTCAATTAATGATGGATCTTATACACTTTAATAATTAAATCTATAAACATTTTCATTAATTTATAATTTTTTTAAAAAAATATCAAAAAGTTCCCAACTTTTTATTATATATCTTTATTTTGTCTCTTCCTCTTTCACGATACTCTCTCATTATCTCACTCTATCCATTCGTTTATCTCTCTCTCCACCATCGCACATGAGCACACAATCACGAACAGCCAATGGAGCATCTAACTAAGAGATTCAACCTAGGTATTTCTTCTCTCTTTCCCTAATTTGCTCTAGGTTCGTGAGTAGCTAATAGAGTTATGGAAGAGAATTTGTGAAGTTCAATCTTCAGCTGCTACAACCAAACTGATTGCTAATATAAATATCCTACTGGTATTTAATCGATGAAGAATCTATTTAATCAATGACAAATCTATCAGAATCTTCAAAACTCTATCGATCGATCGATCAATTGATTGTTGGGTTGAAAGCCCATGATTTGTTCTGATGAGTCGAAAACCAAAAACATCATGGGACTAAAGGCTCATCAACAACCAACAACAACTTACCCAAAGAGAGGTAAGTCCAATACAACTGTTCTTTTTTCTTGCAGTTACATGTTGGAAGTAGCACTGATAGAGTTTTATTGAAAAAGAAAAGTAACCGATCAGATGTGCAACAGCAAAAACACCTCGTTTATAAACTTTCTACGGTAGAAAAGGTTTCAAACCCTTCCGTTTGTTGCAAAAGCTGGAATTGGGGAATTCGAGACATATCCATGCGTCTAGAGCAGAATGATTCATCTTTAGTTTGTTGAACTCAATCCATCCATGATGCTAGTTGGGTAAATGTTTGTTGAAGCAGATACTCTACCATTGTAATTCTACTACAATTTGCACGGTATAATTGCCCAAATATATACGATTGTAATTCTACTACAATTTGCACAGTATAATTGCCCAAATATAGTGATTATATTTTGTTATAAAATATAATTAAGAGTGCATGGTTGTTCAAGGAGTTGCCTAATAAAAAAAAGACAAAATGGGATGCTCCGATTAGAATAACAGCGACACAATTTTTTTAGGAGAGATTTTTGTATGTGTTTTAAATGGGTCGTTAAGTGAGTCATTGTACTGATTTAGTTTGAGATCTATGTTTCTTTTTTTCCATTTCTTCCAACAATATTTCTTTTTTTCCATTTTTTCCAACAATAAAGATTTTTTCCAACA